TTGCGTAGCTAATCGCGCACCGATCGTAGCCGCTAACAATTCTAATCGCGGCATACTCGTGGATGCGTTCGTCGTATTCTTCTTTGATGGGGCTACTCGCGTTTTAGATTGTACAAAATAAACCTTTATTTCCGAATCCTTTTGTACTCTAATAAAAATTACTGTCGCGTATGCTAATTTACTCGCGTCGACGAAAGTGTGTAAACTTACGTTCGTATTTTCATCTATTTCTCCAATCATGCAACGCGGCATTTTAACTTGATCTAAATTTTTTAATTCATTAACCCAATCATTAAATTTCTTTTTAGTCTCGTCGCTAACTTCATCGTCCCACGATAATTTAGTTGCCCACGCTTCCTGCAATGAAATTTTAGGGCCAAGTGATACCGGCGAGACGAAACCCAACGGATCAAAAATTCGATGAGCTACCGAAAGAATATTTCTCTTTGTAATTTTCGGGAATTCTAGTTTACTCAAATTAGACGTATTTAACGATAAATAATCTGTCTCTTTATCCCACCGCATCCCAAGTACAATGCTGGGTGTCTGGGAATTGCCATCTTTGGTGTGTTCCCACCCGTGTAAATCAAATTGACCGGCGTCCATCAGTGTTTTCGAATTAGAAATAAAATCGTTCAATTCGTTAACGCTATTTAGACTCGTAACGCAATTATCTACATAAAAACTTTGCTTAAGTTTTAGCGTGTTGAATACATTTTTACTCTTGCTCGCATCATTAGCCAACGAATCCAAGTAATTATCTAAATGTAAATTTATCGTCGCGCCAAAGATAAAAGGACTACTGCATACCCCGAAAACTACTCTACAGTGTCTATACATTATTAAATTACCCGATGCGTCATACCATAAAAATCGCAAAAAATTACGGTCTACCGGGTCCACACTAATTTGTAAGAACGCTTTCTTTATGTCCGAAACTACACCTATTTTACCTATTCTAAATCGCAATAAAATATCGGTTACCAACTCGATGAGGTTCGGTCCCTTTTCTAAACAGCTGTTGAGGGATGGACAATTCTTTCCCTCTGCCGATGCATCGTACACAGGCCTCGTAGTAGTCGTCGAATTTTCTTTGAAAACTGGGCGGTGGGGCAAATAATGACCCCAACAGTTCTCATCTTCCACCGGTACACGCTCCATGAACCCCTTTCTCAACCAATCGTGGAAAATAGAACCGTATTCTTCGTATTTACCAGCTTTCTGCAATTTATTAACCATGGCTTGCAAACGTTGTATGGCTAAATGTTTATTATCCACAAGCGTAGGGTGGGATTCGAGCCACGGCAATTTCACCTCATATCGGCCTTCTTCATTTTTTATTATCGTCTGTCTGAACACTATCTCCACCTCCTCGTCGTGTCTTTTTTGTGTCTTGTGCTCAATTGGATCTTTAATCCCTAAAACGTCTAGAGACCATAAGTCTTCGATTATATTGCTATTTACGTACATGGAGATTGCTGATACGGCTAGATTCTCTCTTTCATTTATTACGGGTACTTTACCCATCAGCGTCCAGCCCAGGTATGTCTCAATTGCTGTCATGCCATTTTTGAGCTGACGTATTTGTCCCGTAAGTAATTTACCCGCTACATCTTCACCGATTAAAAGACCCACGGTGTTTTCGGTGCTATCCACATCTGTTAATTTAATGTTGAAGCGATCTAATTCTTGCAGCCAGCTTCCCTTTGTTACTGACGGCACTTCCGAACAGATTTCATCCTCGTCGAGCGCTTCAAAATAGCACCAGTAACTATCTGCAAGATTTCCAACGCGCACTAAATATTTATTATGGGAAGTGACGCTCGATTTTTTATCGCCGAATAATAAATGTACCACGTTTTGCTTCCCAATCGGTTCATAATTTAATTGTCGTGCAACGCTTTTCAAAATATAAGAATTCTGCGAGCCGCTATCTATCACCGCGCGCATTGTCAATTCATTCGTATCAGTGTACAATTTTACTTTTAGAGTTTGCATAAAACAAGTTGGTACATTCGAAGAAGTTGTTAATGAGCACTCCTTTTTCACATTGACGGCGTCTACCGAACTTTGCGCGTTTGCTCTATTTTCTGTGTAGCGTTTTTCTTCATCGTAACACGTCAGATCGACATGATGTCGCGAACATTTCGTACACTTTACGTTCGCGCGACAAAATTTACCCGCATGGCCTACGTTCAAACAGTTGTAGCACGCGCGTTTTCTCTTCAACACCTCTTTTATCTCCGAAAGTGACATCTTCTTCGCTTTAAAACAGTTAGCACTTTCATGATTCGTTTTTTCGCAAAACACACACGATTTATCTCGGCTTTTCACAGCAATCAAATTTCGAGCAGTGGCTACATCTTTCGTTTCTTGCTTCGCTCTCGGTTTACTGGCACTCGTTGCTTTATTCGCGTTATCCGCCAGGGTGAAGCCCTCGACTGCTAAACAGATTCTTTGATCACCTTCTACTTCCGCCTTTAAAAAATCGATTAACTTCATCAATCGCGTTTTTGACATATCTGGTGCGTTTACATTGTCACTCGCGTTTCTGGTCTCACTCGACCTTTGCCACACACGCAATATTTCTTCGGGCAATGAAGATTCCACCAACGGTAAAAGCATAGCCGCGCATTTATCTGTGGTTACCCCGAGCGTACTTAAAGCGCGTAATTGAGATTCGATCTTGTCGTACAACCTAGATAATGGCAATTTTTCGGAGGACACTGCATTCTCAATTGAAGCAGCTGCCTCACATACACTTCTATCTGTAGATCATCACGGCCATATCGTTGTTTCAAACTATTGATTACACATGGATAGTTATCACTTGTTGGTGGATAGCTATCAACAAGCTCTTCTGCGGGTGATCCTGGTACTATGGATTGCTGTAACAACTGAAATTTATCCTCGCCGACTATGTTTGAGTCTTCGTGTATCTTTTTAAATCCACTCCAAAACTTGAGCTAATCTCGTACATCTCCACCGAACTTTTTTATTTCTAACGTTTACAATTTATACGGCTTCTTTTTACGGGTTGATTCCCTGTTCGCGCGTTACTTTTTTGAACTACGCGCGCGTCAAACTTATATTTGCGTTGTAAAAACTTACAAGTATACGCGTCCTTATCATCGTATTCTTTTTGGATGGCAGCCTCCTGCATTTCGTCGCTCGACAAAAAATCAATGATAGTATTTGTGAGCTCATCCATCTCTATATGCTTACTTTCAGATCTTTAGTTGCATACAAATATTTCAAGATTCTAAGAGCATATTTATAATGTGTTTCGTCATAAGAGTTTTGAAAACGACTTAAATAGTTAACGCTATACGCTATATCAGGACGAGTGCCTGTACTTATATATAAGAGTTCGCCAATTAGATTTCTATATTTTATATTTGGATTTGGAATTTTCGCAGGTTTTAGCTTTAAATTAGTTTCCATGGGTGTGTTATATAATTTAGCTTTTTCCAAATTATACTTAATTGCCAAAGACTCTATATAATTTTTTGACAAAATGTCATTTTATTGTTTATAATATCATAGTCAATATCTATTCCAACATAAGTTCCTGTTTTACCCATGTCTCTCATTTTAAATCGTTTAGACAATTTTAATTTTACATCTTAAATTGCCTTTTGGCTTTGACTACATATCAGCAAATCATCTACGAACAATATTACATAGATATATACGTCATTTTGACATTTCACATACAAACAATAGTCATATTTGCTTCTTGTAAATTTTAATTTATACATGAACTCGTTAAAACATTCATACCATGACCTTGGACTTTCTCTTAAGCCATACAAAGACTTTAACAATTTATAAACTCTACCTGATTTATCATCAAACCCCTCAGGCTGATTTACATAGACTTCTGTATTTATTTTTCCATTCAAAAACGCTGTTTCAACGTCCAACTGGTCAATAATATACCCACTTTGACAACAAATCGCAAGTAATAATTTAAATGTTTGTACTTTTACAACAGGAGAATAAATGTTATCTATATAATCTTCTTGTTGAAAGCCTCTAACAACTAACCTAGCTTTATATGTTTTCTCATTTTTCTTTCTGAAAATCCATTTTACATCTATAATTTTCTTATCTTTTGGTTTTTCGACTAGTTTCCAAGTATTATTCTGTTCAAGACTACAAATTTCACTATCCATCGCCTTTTTCCAATTTTCAGAATCGCTCATTTGCATCGCTTCCTTAACTGTACCAGGAACGACTGCATTACAAAAGTTTACATAGACATATTGAACAGTATTTTCGTTAAAATAACGACTATTCGGTTTTGGCTCTCTAGTAGAACGTCTTAAGTTACATTCAGTCTCATCATTAACATTAATTGTATTTGGTTCACTATCATTAATATTAATTGTATTTGGTTCGCTGTTTTCAGTATCACTAATATTTTGTTCAGGTTCTTCAAATTCACTGGTATTTCGAGTATTCTGACTTTGATACGCTTCATCTGTGATATGAATTCTTAAAATTAAATTTACTTTAGGTAAATGACACTATTACATGCATTTTGTATATTCCTATCCTGAATGAAAATCACTTTGGCTATCGGAGAATTTATTCAATACCTGATGAAGATAACAAAATTCTTCTACCCCCTTCGTGTTGTAATTTATATGGGGCTCAAACAGAATTTTGTTGGAAGAAAAATATCATTGAATTGAAAAATCGGTGCTGTGTTTAGACAACCCTTCATCGATCAGTGTTCATTGAGTGATTTTTATTTTATTTTATTATTTTTTTTATTAATTAATATCTCCTTCCTCCTCCTAAACGTATCCCTACTTCTTTCCCTCTCTCCACCAAATAAATTCTTTTCAAAATCCGCATTCTTCCTACTATAAATTCAACAATATATGTATTAATGCTTACACTCACTGACATCGTCAAGAGCCAATAACATCATGTGACCAGNAATTTTTATTAGAAACCACCAAATGTTAGAAAGACAGATGTAAAACCCACGAAGTATGTAAACTTTAAATTTAATGCTTGATGATATAAATAAACTAATGCAAGAGGCTAAAGATTTAAACAGTCAATTTGAATTGACCCCTTTATACACAAATTTGGCTTTTCGATAAATATTGTTGTTATTGTATTAATATTTGTATTGTTTACTGTTTGTTGTATACTGAGCAAACGAATTGGAAATATTTTTCAGTGTAAAAACAGAGTTATAGAACAAATAATCATTCCAAGAATATCCAGCAGAACCTCACAATAGGACGTGCTCACTCAAGGAGGGAGGAACTAAGTTAGGTGCACATACGCACACCTGTAAGCAGAGGTAGTAGGATTTGCAATTACGAGGGGACCTCCCCTGCAGTAAAAAATGGAATTTTGCCTTTCATCTCATATAGGGTGTCCCAGTTATAATAATTAATATTTATACCACAGATTCCTACGGACATTTGGAACATAAAATGTTATAACACTTTTGACTTTTGAAACAAAATAAAAAATTATAAAATTATAACAGTTTCGATGCCGGCCNTAGCCGCGCATTTATCTGTGGTTACCCCGAGCGTACTTAAAGCGCGTAATTGAGATTCGATCTTGTCGTACAACCTAGATAATGGCAATTTTTCGGAGGACACTGCATTCTCAATTGAAGCAGCTGCCTCACATACACTTCTATCTGTAGATCATCACGGCCATATCGTTGTTTCAAACTATTGATTACACATGGATAGTTATCACTTGTTGGTGGATAGCTATCAACAAGCTCTTCTGCGGGTGATCCTGGTACTATGGATTGCTGTAACAACTGAAATTTATCCTCGCCGACTATGTTTGAGTCTTCGTGTATCTTTTTAAATCCACTCCAAAACTTGAGCTAATCTCGTACATCTCCACCGAACTTTTTTATTTCTAACGTTTACAATTTATACGGCTTCTTTTTACGGGTTGATTCCCTGTTCGCGCGTTACTTTTTTGAACTACGCGCGCGTCAAACTTATATTTGCGTTGTAAAAACTTACAAGTATACGCGTCCTTATCATCGTATTCTTTTTGGATGGCAGCCTCCTGCATTTCGTCGCTCGACAAAAAATCAATGATAGTATTTGTGAGCTCATCCATCTCTATATGCTTACTTTCAGATCTTTAGTTGCATACAAATATTTCAAGATTCTAAGAGCATATTTATAATGTGTTTCGTCATAAGAGTTTTGAAAACGACTTAAATAGTTAACGCTATACGCTATATCAGGACGAGTGCCTGTACTTATATATAAGAGTTCGCCAATTAGATTTCTATATTTTATATTTGGATTTGGAATTTTCGCAGGTTTTAGCTTTAAATTAGTTTCCATGGGTGTGTTATATAATTTAGCTTTTTCCAAATTATACTTAATTGCCAAAGACTCTATATAATTTTTTGACAAAATGTCATTTTATTGTTTATAATATCATAGTCAATATCTATTCCAACATAAGTTCCTGTTTTACCCATGTCTCTCATTTTAAATCGTTTAGACAATTTTAATTTTACATCTTAAATTGCCTTTTGGCTTTGACTACATATCAGCAAATCATCTACGAACAATATTACATAGATATATACGTCATTTTGACATTTCACATACAAACAATAGTCATATTTGCTTCTTGTAAATTTTAATTTATACATGAACTCGTTAAAACATTCATACCATGACCTTGGACTTTCTCTTAAGCCATACAAAGACTTTAACAATTTATAAACTCTACCTGATTTATCATCAAACCCCTCAGGCTGATTTACATAGACTTCTGTATTTATTTTTCCATTCAAAAACGCTGTTTCAACGTCCAACTGGTCAATAATATACCCACTTTGACAACAAATCGCAAGTAATAATTTAAATGTTTGTACTTTTACAACAGGAGAATAAATGTTATCTATATAATCTTCTTGTTGAAAGCCTCTAACAACTAACCTAGCTTTATATGTTTTCTCATTTTTCTTTCTGAAAATCCATTTTACATCTATAATTTTCTTATCTTTTGGTTTTTCGACTAGTTTCCAAGTATTATTCTGTTCAAGACTACAAATTTCACTATCCATCGCCTTTTTCCAATTTTCAGAATCGCTCATTTGCATCGCTTCCTTAACTGTACCAGGAACGACTGCATTACAAAAGTTTACATAGACATATTGAACAGTATTTTCATTAAAATAACGACTATTCGGTTTTGGCTCTCTAGTAGAGCGTCTTAAGTTACATTCAGTCTCATCATTAACATTAATTGTATTTGGTTCACTATCATTAATATTAATTGTATTTGGTTCGCTGTTTTCAGTTTCACTAATATTTTGTTCAGGTTCTTCAAATTCACTGGTATTTCGAGTATTCTGACTTTGATACGCTTCATCTGTGATAATTTCACTACGAGTATCATTTACCTTTTCCTCATCACTAAAACATATACACTTTACATTTTCTTCTATAATGTCTACATGTCTTGCATTAATCACTCTATTATTCACTAACACTCTGTAGCCCATGTCGGTATATCCCAACAAAATTCCTCGATTTGCTTTATTGTCCCATTTAGATTTTCTTAACTGTTCTGGTATCCGTACAAAAACTCTACTGCCATACAATCTCAAATACTTTACATTTGGTTTTATTTTGAAAAATATTTCATACGGTGTTTTAGTTTCAACTGTATTTGCGAGTGATCTATTTTTCAGATAAGTTGCCGTTTTAACAATTTCCGGCCAATATTTTCTATTCACTTTTGCTTCAGCTAATAAGCATCTAGACATGTCCATTACTGATCGGTTATATCTTTCCGCAACTCCATTTAATTCGTGCACATATGGTGGACAAGAACTTATTTGTATACCTTTATTCCTAGCAAACTCAAAAATACTTTTATTTAAATATTCTCGGCCATTATCGCATCTTAGTATTTTAATTTTCTTACGAGTTAAATTCTCCATTTGATTTACATATTCAACGAAACAATTAATCACATCAGATTTAGATTTGATACAATATATTTTCGCTAGCTTACTATAATCATCAATAAATGTTATGAAGTACTTTTCACCAGATACACCTGTTGTTGCATGAGGCCCATTCAAATCAGTGTGGATTATTTCTAAAATTTCTTTTGCATGTTTTCTATTATTTTCAAAAAGAACATTGTGCATTTTACTTTCAATACAAATAGCGCATTTCA